CAGTAACCATACAATTGAGGTCTTCATCCATCTTCAACAGTCGCCTCATCTCCCACGTGTTGCTTAGCCATACATAACCCCCAGGTGGGCCGAGTCGACACTGAAAAGTGATAGTGGCTGTGGTGCTGACCCCTTTGATTCATGGACTGTCATGGAACCAGGGACAGGGAGATGGCTCACTGACAGGGCCCCGTCATACAGACATGGGGTAACAGTCCACACAGGAAACCTGTTTCTGATTCTTCTTGGCAGCAATCCCCATTACAACGTAACACTGAACCAAGTGCCTCATCACTTTCTTGTGAAGAAATCTGTGTCGTGGTTCGTCGAGCTTACTTGAGCAGAATGCTAAAAGTAGCATATATACCATCTGTGTATTAAACATGAATTCATCTTGATGTCATTGTTGTTATGTTTGTCATAAATGACTGTGGTTAAGGTGAAGTGTACGATTCGTTGTGGTTTCCATAAACCTTTCTTTTAACACAGCATTGAGAGATTTGTACGGTAAACTTAACCATTAGCTGGAATAGATGGTCAAAACAATGGCACTTATGGGGCGGTGTAATCCGGCAATGATCTTTAATTAATACTTCTTAATAATAAATTCTCATAAAAGATTCCCAGTGGCACCTCAATGACACTGAATCAACAATGAGTTGTGTCCAAGAGGGCCTTTGTTGAGCAGAAGCACTGGGGTGAATGATATAGAGTTGTGGTCACCTGAGAGCTGACCATTTGAATCGTTGGATTGTTGTGACCAGGGCTAGGCAGATCTACTAGACTCCAGCCATGCAATGAACACACGGGATCAAGAGGGATCATTTATGTAAACTGACCAACACACAGAGAGATGTTGTCAGTGATTTACTGGATTCAGTCAACTGTCACAGTTACATCAATATATCACACAAACATTTGAGGGATGTTATCAGGATCTTTTTTTAAGAACATGGGATTACATCTGTTACAATCAAACGATAAAGGCATAGTTTACTACTCGTTTGGTAGGACAATCATCATGATAGTCAGAGTCAATGATCCTGCTAAAAGTATCTGACTTCAATGGTTGCATTTAAGGATGTTCATCTATGAGGGATGGAATTCCAGAGATACTTCAATGTATCTGGGCCAAGAGTCCATAGTTGTAACTGACCCTACACAATCTCCCCTATCGGACCCTTCCTTCAACCTCTAGTTCCAGCTCAGCGCCTGTATTGTCCAAGTGCCCCTATCACAGGTAACTATGATCGCGTATGGCCAAGACACGACCCCTTTCGGCCATTTCACGACTGGACACGCCTGCCAGAGAATGATGTCCAGGGTTCGTGTTACTGGCCAGAAGCGTTCACACGAAGAGGATATATAGTCAGTATCTCCACACGCACGTATCAATGCCCAGCATGGGGGTGTCAGGCTCACGACAAGCACATAGCACACATAACTGGACATTATATCCAAGGAGGTCTAACTGACGACATACAGACAGGCTGAGAAGTGGAACTGTCATCCGAGAACTACCATGATGTTGGCTGGTGAACATTGAAACTTCTCGCAAAGACTTCGACTTGTGTATGGCCATGTATAAACAGACACTGGAATAGATTGGTTCATTCGGGTAGCTCTCCAAGCATATTAAATATTAACTCTACAATATGTCGAAACAACGAACCCAAAACAATCATTCATTCATGTGCACATATCCCAATGTCCACAAATGTGTAACTGGACATTCACGCGATATGGTTCGATGGTATAGAGAGCACGGTGTATCATACTAAAATATTCCGTCTAGTGAGCTTTGTGTTAAGACACTAGTACAATACTGACAACTATTCCAGTACAGCAGCTGGTCTTGGAGTGATATGTGCCTTGTGTTGCTATAGAGAACAACGAGACTCTCAGCAGTTCATGACCCTGGCCTTGTCTGCCCCCTAATTATAAATTGATAAGAGTTACAACTAGCAGATATAATGAGCCTGAAGGAAAACCTGTTAATATAACACCGTGACGTGGGGGCGAATCTCCACTGATAGACCTCTTCTCATCAGGCGTGGACCATTAGCAACAAGTAAAGGATCTTCAATATGACACTGACAAAGTCTCTGACTTTTCCAAGCACCGAGTAGCACCACCAAAAAAGTTCAACTTTTTGTTGAAAAGTTTCAATCTTTTAATGACATTTATAATCCAGTATTTTGTTCAACCTGACGTTGACAAAGCTGGAAGACGTGCTCCGACTGTATCGAGGTACTTATAATGTGGTTTGGAAGTGTTTAACATGGCACAGGTTAAACCTACGTAATGAGGAACCTAAGGGAGCAAAGTCATCTTAGAACCTTAAATTATTTCAGGACCAAATCTGGAGGTTGATTTACGTTAGACAACCATGAAAGCTTCAAGCCATATACTGATTGTCATCGTGGTAATAAATTTACACTGTAACACCTTCTAGGAGTCTTCAAAGGCAACCCCCCAAAACATATCTTTCCTGCGCGTCACTTGATTGTTTTACCGGTACTTCTCATAACATAAGTAAATTAAATGTAAAGCAGTGTCAGGCAGCACTGAGCATATACGGTTAAGAAACCACGATGTGTGAACTATTTTAAAGATTACTTAATCATGTTGTCACGACCTTTAAATGCAATCACAACGAAACATAGTGTAACTTGAAAATGTTGAATATTTGTTTAATCTTGTTTGCATAAAGTTTGACTTTGGCCCAAATTGGTAAATTCTGTTTTATAGCATCACATTTGATAAACTATTTGCTGACTTTTGGGTTCATAATTGAGGAGTTCCAATGGTGGCTTAACCCTTTATAGCATTCGCGGCTTGAAACTGCAGCTGTGGTCAAAGAAAGTGGACACATTGATTAAATAACAATAGCACCAGGTCGTTTATAGCAGATAAAGACTGCAGTAGTGAAACAGCTTGTTTTTATAAGTCATTTCACACATGATTGGATTTTATTGTCCTGTGTATGAAATTGTTTCGGTGTTGACTTTCGCATGATACCTTATCCTGGTCAAAAAAAGGAATGCAATAAAACGTGATAAGAGGATCTGAACAGTATCAAATTGATTACAGATTGTAATTTTAATAGAAGGTTATTGTTTGCAGTTTCATTGAACTTTGCCCCACACAAGCACAAAAACAAAGATATTTTGCTGAAATTCAAATTTTGTAATTAATAACTCACTGCCAAGTTTATTTTCAAATTTGGTGATTTATAACATATGATAAGAAAGTTGGGGCATGTTGGTTGTGCTTTAGAAATTTCATTGATTTCTTTGTACCATAGAGTTCCTGGAGATATGATGCTTACGAATCATTACGAATATATCGGCGAATTATGCATAGGTCATTGTGTTACTAGCCCAGTGACCATCATGATCCCAAATATCAAATATTGCATCAACGCAATGCCGGGCTGTGAAGCATTTCAGCCTCAGAGGCTATATGCCCTTTAAACAGCCTTCTCATCTTATGCAACAGCTTCAAGCGGGTTTCTGTGTGTGCCAGTAACGATATCAGATCTAGGCCAACTATATACTGTGATACGGTTGGACAATATTGGCAATATTAACAACTGGGTGGACAGAGGACGCCTAGAGGAGCAACAATGGTCATGGTTCAGTAACTAGTAACAACATGTGCAACACTGAATCTTGCGAAAAATATGTGATCATAGATGTGATTTCGTTCTATAAGAGACTGACAACAATTTATAATGTATTCTCAATTAGTGCATTTTAACTGTAATTGGGTAGATAGTTGGAGTCATTTCCATAAAATGAAATTAACTTCACTGGGTGCAGGATACCGAAGAAAAATATTAATGTTTATTTTTGGATACAAATTAGTAATTATCTTTAACCTTTCCCGGAGAAGAATACATTTGAGAAGGAAAAAACTGAAATGATATTGAATCAGCCTATTCTGCTCATCCAGATTTCTGCACACAACCAAGAACTTAATAATGGTTGATTAGACAAAAAACGACCCTTCGATCCTGCATTGTGGTTAAGTGAAATAGACACCTTAATCATCCGTCATTAAGAACTATCAGTGTATTTTTGAAACTCTCGGTGATGTATGTATGTTGCAGATAACATCAGTTTTGTAGCAACAGCTATATTTCATATATGCCATTTTGCATGTTTTTCTATGTACGTAACCTTTGAAAAAGTTGTAACTGTTGTCGTGGATTACCATGTCATTTACAAACATTGTGCAATAAACTTAGAAAATATAGCTATTAATTGAAATAAAAGATGAATAGTTCATATTAGAATTTGAACTTGTCACTGTGCACTTCTACATATTGAAGAATTGATTAAAACTCAGTTCGTTCAGAATACTATGACATTCCTCTCCCAGCATAACAGGGTTAAACTTTATACATTATCTTGCATTTCCGAGGTACCAAGCGACCACAGCCTCCAGAAAAGAGTTTTATGTATATAACCACACGCGATCTGTCAATAATTTCCGTATATATTTCTCAGATACTCTTACATCACTTGGTCAGTCTCGTGGTCAGGAGATTAACAACGCTTTATCTTGTCAGCGTGATATGGAAGGAATGACGTGGGTATTTCACTCCGCTCTTTACGCGTGCAGCCAGATAACCTCGCAATGGCGTAACGCTGAAGGACAGAGCAAATTGGCCATTCATTTGTCTCACAGAGATGATAATTAACTTAACATTAACAATTAACAGTCGGGGATTAGGAACAAGTCTGTGGTCAGATTTACTATTCACTTGGCAAAGCTGAGTGGATCGAGCGTGTAGAGTGGCATAACTTGTTTTCTGATGGGCTACGCGCATTCTTGTCAGTCAAAAACGTTATCAATCTTACAAAAGGAAATATTTCCATTTTACATAGAAGGGTGTAATACATTCTAATTAATCACATGTTGTTGTCAGTGCAAAATATGGTATGATGCTCACTTTATAACCAGTGTCAACTGACATATTGAATTAGCCATACCTGAGAGAAGTCACGTGCCTTCTTGTCTAGCCAGTGATTGGTTTATTCTGTCAACTTCCTGTCATTGCGCAGGCTGGATGAGGTCTAGTCTGCAACAAAGAGTTATGAATACTCAGAGAACGCTACATTAGACACTCTAGCAGTGGAACAACAAAAGATTAAATTTCTGCATGGTGTTAGAATTGTCGCGGTTAATTATGCTCCATTAAAAAGACTGAAAAGAGGAACTTTGGGGTTAAAACATTTAACTAATTTTTCTGTCAGCCTTTATTACGAAGGGCAACCTTTTTCAGTCCCTTCGTAACCATTGTCAAATGAGCATTGAATTACCATAGACATATCACACTGCTTTAGACTTCGTGTTTTTTTCAAACATTTTTCTTTCGTGTTCAACTCGTTTTGTGTGCATAAAAATTTCCAATGCAAAAATGTCTTACAGCTTAGCAAATGGATATAATTTCCTTCATTGATTGGTAAGCTGCGTTATACAGAATGAAGCATGAAGAAATCCTTGCAAAACGGCCATGGGTTTTTGTTGTCCTGAAATATCTCTTTCCTCAACAAAACGTATGAATGAACATTGACAAACACATGCAATGATCTATCCCGGCATCTATATATAGAAATAATCTTTCGTGCAACTGGTTCTGAGGCGTAATATGATCCTATGATCGAATGTGGAAAGGGGATTCGAGGGAGCAGGCATTTATTAGCCAGGTAAACAAAGCCTTTTGATATTAACATTTCTTGAAATATCAGGTTGGGAGGCGTTGGTTTCTAGTAAATGATGACAATGCAGTTGACCGTGGTGAATAGATTACTTGAATGATTGATATATATTGTACACAATGATGACATTATTGCCTTGTGTGCAATTATGAATTAATTTATATATAATCCAATTGTACAATTATTCAAAATCATGATAATTATAAAAATGTAAAAAGGTTAAGAGGTAAATACTTTTTTTATAAATGAGTATTTATTTTACGGGTGCTTATGGTCAATGACTGATTTACTTACAACCCATTCAGTAAACGAAGTGTATGATATTTAAGAGTTTATTTTGATATTTATTTGAAAATAATCCGTCCTAGAAATTTCTGGCACCAATACATACCTTTAATATCATTTCTGTACCCGTTAGCATACTTAATTATACATTAAACAAATCATTCGGATAATGTATGCTGTGCCCTCGGCATATAGTGAACTATCAGCTTACAGTTTAAAGAGGTAAGAGCTATTAAATTTTCCAGACAGCAGTAGCATTTCAATGAATTGTCATTTTTTGTGTGTAAGATATGTATATGTGATTACATACTGCCCACAAGAATTATTTGTTTGATAATTATCTTTTATGTTTCAGCTGCATCATGTGCAAATAGGTCAAATTAGATTCAACCATTTTGTTGCGGTATAATGTCAATGAACGTTGATTGTATTATGATTTCGTTTAAAATCAAACGAAATTTCTCAAACAACGTAAGAACGTCAATCGTTTCTTTGATAATGTTAGAGAAAATAATAGGTTGTAATCAGATGTTGTGTGCCAAAGCCTGGGTTTGCAGGTGTGTAACGAACACTGATATGCAAAGTTTGTTTATCCTGAGATTAAAGATGCGGCGTTTGAAAAGGAGTTCACCAGGGTGAGGTCCTAAGACCCAATACTTTCACGGAATCCTAAATACGCTTGCCAGAGACAGCCTCTAGCTACACAGAATTGCGGGCCTTTGGTCGATAAACAAGGTACGGATATTAAAGATTAGTAGCAAACTTATCAAATCTGGTAATTTAACACTTGTTTTATCTTTGTCTAAACTCTGGTTGACGCGCAGCGACCAGATAAAGCTAAGCTATTTACTAAGACGACATCTCTTTTCACGCTGTCTCTTGATATCAGGGCTCTATCGCCGTATTAAACCTTACATCACTGAAACATCTAATCAGTCAAGTGATACCGTGAACATAACCGATAATTGCCTGTATAGGTACCGACAGTGATTGCAATACCCAAATTGTGAAATATTTGTGCCTCCAAACGAAACAAGCATTAAGTTTGCACCTGAGTTATGAATGATAATTAACAATGTATGAAACGCACAATAAAATCTTGTTTAAATAATGCATATATTGAATGGATATAAAGTACGACATTTGAATGTTTGTGAATTCTCATATACTTAATATGATGTTTCTTACATATTTAAAGTACATGTTATTTTCAACACAAACACAGATGGTGTGGGCATTAAGAACTATTTTTTAGAGAGATAATACATCAATACGTTTACAGAATTATCACATTACATCGTACATAATCCAACTTCGTATGAATTCCGCGTAGTAATTTAATATCAGTTGTCAAGCATACTGAGAGGCAGACCCAGGGGAAGAGATGACACAGCCATAAACCTCCTTGCCGTGTGAAATCGCACAGCCAGTTTATAGGCGGAGGTGTAGGAACTATCCAACTTTATCTATGGCTGGAGGCGATTCTCGGGGCCTCCTCCACACACAGGGGTCGGCCCTTGTCAACCGAGGAACTGCTTCATTGTTGCTTCTATACAACCACGTAGACCCCCACATATTCTCGGTTCATGGAACAAAATCTCCATGACGTCTATTTTGATTTTACAAATAATATCACATGCTACCAGATCTAATTATATGTACAAGGATTGTTATTGTGAAAAAGTATATTGGTGTTTTTAATTAGATAATATCTTTCGCAATGTGCACAGCCTTGAGTGCATATGTACTTCTTTTTAAAAAAAGTTATATTTTTAGTTTAATTGTTGAAACTTTAAAGCAGGAGAGGGGTGGGGAGTGAGGGGTACGGGGGTGGGTGTACTTGTATTTCTATCTTGTCTGAAAAATATTCACACATCCAGGAAGAAGCAATATAATGGATACCTATACGCGGTTAATAAATGTCAAATAGAAATTCCAATTTTGTATTAAGGACATTATATTAAATGTGGTAAGGAACGTGGTATATACTTCACATTATTCTAAATACTTTGTCTCAATATTGCTTTCTGCTTTGGAAAATTCGGGTTCACAAAAGAATACAGCGTTTGTGAATATATCGACTTTAACTACGAAAACATTATAATTTGCATCTGTAATAACGTCGCAAGACGTCAATGGACATGGAGAAAAAACTTAAACGATGCGTTGGTAATTAAATGATAATTATAAGAGCATCCAGAAAGAGTGCCTTTTTAAATTTCACAATAAATGTACAAAACTGTAGAAGTGGAAGAAACTTCCTCATATCTGATAGGTTCTCCGGGGCGACATGTTTATGTCAACTGGATCAGAAACTCAGCTGTCGACTTGACTTTTGGGGACGGGATGATATGTTCTGTGGGACTATTATCATGATTTATGTTATTCTCGGGCCATTAACCAAATTTAATAACATTTGATATTTTTTTAGAAAGCCGTGTGCGAGAGTGTGTATGTTTGTAAGAGAGGGGATTTATTTAGGTCACATTTTGCCCCACGGTAACGCAGGTCTCCGTTTAGGTGAGGACATACTGGCCCGTACACCCCGCCCCCTTCACGGATCAGAGGGCGTGTGTGAAAGGCGGGGTTCGAGAATATATTTTGGAACTGTTCTGAGAGGCATTGATGTGCATCTTTATGGCTCGTTTATGTTAATGCATTTCCAAGTAAGGAAATCTGCAAATACTCGATTCGAGCAGAGTAACTTGTGATATAGTGCTCATCTAACCAATAACACTTTGACTACACTCTTAACAACTGATATAAAATAATGACGACGATGATGATGACGTGATAGATTAATACGTGTGACGTATAATACTAAAAGAATGTCAAGGACTACCCGATTCTTTCACATTACTATGGTTAATCTGTAATTTCAAAAAATCGGGTGGTCCTCAACGTTTTTAAACTGTAAATATGTTTGAGAAAAGTTTATGTGGTTGTGGAATTATTGTCCATCTGAAAGGCATGTGTGAATTACCACAAATACTTCCATAAGGAAGTTAATAGCGGATTTTATAGGAGAAAGTATTGACACTGTCTGATGAACCATAATTTTTGTGACAGATAGACTCAACCTGAGACATATTTTCTACCTATGATTATGCATAAATAAAAGATGACTCATCGCAATGTGTAATCGTAAGCGGAAAATATATAAAACAGATAATGAATGCATCACATGCAGACAGCTACATCCAATACTTAGTTTGTTAAATAACACTTCCGTATTGTGAGTTATTGTGTATCACCCAGGTGAACATTTCATACATAAAATGGATCATAACAATAAATTCCCAACAGTGATATGTCATGACGAATCACATGTCTACCTCTGCGCAATGTATAGTTTCTCTAAACGCAATGACATCGTACAATCAACTACATTTATATACATTAGGTGATATTTGGACATGTTGTACAGGGTGTCTATGTTATGTGACCATCGCGATTTCCATCCAAAGATACCGTTATACCATCGAACGTGAACGTTTTGTTTATAAAGCAAGCGCTGAAACACACCTACATCACATGATCATTTTTTTCAGAAGCCAGGTTCGGCATTTCCATGCTAACGTCGTCACAATGTTAACAGTTCGGGCTATGTCGACAGCGCTAGGCCGCGGCTTAATGTTGTGTACTGTATATCTAAGTGACACGGACATAGTGCTGAAAGAATTAAAAAGTGGCACACGATCGTTGGGCACATAACAGTAAATTACTTTCCACCGTAGTGCCCCATCCCCTGGTAGGGGGACAGCTCAATTGTAATGTGGGATAATTTAATCCAACAACTTTGAAAAGTTGACCTAAAACACAAAAGGCGGAAGCGAAAGGTTTGCTACACAATGGAGTAACTGGTCAATCCTTTAATGGGAATACACATCAGTGAAAAAGAAACATAATCCAATTTTCAAGCCTTGTGTCGGACTGCGTGAAAATGATTGATTGTTCGGTGTTCTTCTGCCTGTCTGCATTATGTAAAACAGTGCCATAATACAAGGTCCGAAACCCTTATGATCAATCTGTGATTAACACTGCCTTACACTATAACTTTTCAATGTCTAATTGG